TTTTTTTTTTTTTTTTTTTTTTTTTTTTTTTTTTTTTTTTTTTTTGCATCCACCTCATTTCATCAGTAGGTCTACTTTTGCAGGCTTTTGGTAAATGAGACCTCTCCAACAAATTCCTTGAATGGAAATGAAGTGTGGTTTGGCATTTACAATTGAGTTAAGCAGTTGGCTCGGATTCTAAAAAACGAAGTGAAGTGAAGCTAACACTGCACTGCAAATCTGCTGGTGTTAAGTCAACACAATAGGGCATTCATTTTAACACCCGGTAAAGTGTCTCTAATAATACACACGACGCGGGGTTAAAGTAAAATATACTTTAGTGTTAAAAGGTCAACACCCAATAGTTTGTTACAGCAACAAAACAAAGTGTTGACAGTGCAGTAATGACACTGAGTGTTAATGTCGACAATATACAGAGTGGGGAAATATACCCCATGCTTCACTTGCTTTAATAAAGCAAATAACAAAATTTCAATTCAAAACACTTTTCTCTTATTACATCAGACAACTCATATAAAAGAGCAGTAGGACTGAATCTATGTTCTTCCTCCTGCAGTCTGGTAATCATAAAAACCCAAAGAAATGTCTTCTCGTCATGGATATGAACAATTCCCTTTTCAGTACCCGCACAGACAAACATTCCATTTTGGCAAGTCCATTTCCTGTAGGCCAACATAGCCAAACCAGAAAACCACAGTTTTTTTTTCCTTTTTTTTTTTTTTGCACTTCAATACTCACATAAATTGGTGCAGCCTTGTCTTGCAGATTGGGGAAGAGTGTGACAGCTCTACGGACATAGACGATGCATACATTAAATTTTCAAACGCACATGTCAAAGAAATAAAATTATTTCAAGGACACTTAGCTTTTCCTATCATCTTATTTACATGTTATATTTTGGAGAGTAGGAACATAGCTTGTCAGGGAGCTGACAAATAACGCTCATGAGACTGAAAGCAGTCAACTGCACTCTACACACCAGTCCCAAAAAAGTCACGTGCAGCTCATCATTGTAGCTGCCCACACCTGCTTCGACCAAAACATGTTAAATATTGTGTTAATGAATCCAATTGGCTTTTTTTGAACAATTTATTTCGAACATGGATAAAAAAAAAAA